CAATGAATCAATGAATTATCATGGAGCATTATCAATAATGAATTTTAGTATAAATCAACACTCCATTAATTATTACTCCATGATAGAATAAAGACACTGAGCTGGTTTTCAGCAAAGCCATGCTTGTCGCAAGGGGTGAATAACTAGATAGGGTGGGGAGGCGAGGTGAAATTGGGTTTAACGTCGTGCTTGAGAATATTTCGCTCATATGACGACGTGCATGCGTATGTATGTGTATGTGCGGCTGCTTGTACTAGCTGGTTTTATAGTGCTAGCCCACTGAGATACCATGCCGCAGTGAAGCATGAATACCCCACTCAGACACATTATACTGACTCCGAGCCGACCAGTCCTTGTTGTACCCATTAATGCCGAGCGCCAGGTAGATACCAACAAGTACCATATTTTAACGTCTTTTGGTATGACGTGGTCGGGGATAGAATCGCGACCTTACGCTCTCCGGGCGGACGCTCTAACCACTACACCACGGGGGTGGTCAGATCGGGTGGTGAGGTTCGCTGAGTAGGTTGATGTATGTCATCATAATTGTACAGATCGATGCTCATGATTTCAACCGCTGGAATGTCTGGTCCAGACGTGCTTATTTATTGACCACTATCACATAGCTGGAATATTGCTGAATAATATTACAAACAGTTTACAAGAATGAAATTATTTGTTACCATTCATATCAATGACTTCATTACATTATCACCCTTAGCAGACTTGCAAATTAGTTTAAAGCTTACAAATCAACCAATTGAGAACCTCTGAATTAAGTAGTAAGAATTATTTCAAACATTCAAAGATTTCACCCTCCCAAATCTGTCACTGGTATGAAGTGATTCAACCACCCAGGGTAAAGATAACCATTTTGTCAGACACTTCCATACTTTTAACAAAATCGTTTATGCTTAAAGTGGTTAAATTACTGGATGATCATGTCAGATTCTATATTCTATTCACTACATCAGCTCAAAATTTGGAGATACTGGCTGAATTGAACCTGCAAACAATGTTCAACCTCATTCACTCTATGCCTAGCACATACACATACTGAAACTGTACCTGTTTCAAAGACATATTACATATTTATACACCTAACGTATCTCTGCTCAAATGTTGTTGCATATTTGTTCCAATATTTGTGGATCAATCGACATTCCAGTTCTCATTCTCAACCTGCAGGTGAGTATACACCTCATACTGCCTATAGGCACTAGGTTTAACCCTCACACACAACTGAGTCTATTATTGCCAGGGAGCATCACAAGGTTTGATACCTGTGTTTTGGATGTATGTAAGTATTCATGTATCATTCAACTGGTCATCTACCAACAGATGAGTGGGTTCTATTGAGGGTGACTGTACTGCACACTTCAGACTGTGACAATGCTCTCCAGCCATGTAAACACTATTGGACCTGGTTGAATAACGACCTGGTCCCCAGGGGGATGGGTTCTCAGGCGCTGGTACTTGTTACCCTGGGACTTCAAACAAACTACTTGCTAAACCACGCAATGACTAATCTGCTTTGCTTTCCAGATACAAATGCTTATTTAGCAATGTATTTCCTCAGCAATGACTGAACTGTAGCTCACTTGGGTCAGCAGAGGGATTTATCACCAACGATTTCCAATAAGCAAAACATATCATAACAACCTATGCCTATTTTGAATGGCTCCGACCCAAGAATGGGGTGTGAGAATCTGTTCTGACCAATCACTGCAAGGGTAGGAGAATATTAGTCTGGAGCATATCGCCTCCTAAGGGACCGTTCATAATTTATGGAATTTTCTTTTCTCTTCTTCTTTTTTTTTGGGGGGGGAAGAGGAGAAAGAGATGATGATTTAAGGGGGGGGCACCCATTTTGTTCCGGGAGCTAGGGGGGTTCAGCAATTTTGTACATAAAAATATGTTTAAAACTATGCTTAGAAATTATGGGAAGGGGAGGGGGGTTAATTGATTTTGTACATAAATTTTAGGGTGGGTTATTCATATTGTACATGCTTCTCCATAAAAATCATCATCACCCCCACACACACACACACACCCCACACCTATAAATCATGAACGGTCCCTAATGTTTCGATAATTAATTAATAGCTTGATTGAGTTATGCATGTCCGAACTGGAGTGTTTCATGAACATGATAAGAGTGTTTCTGGACCACTGATTCAGCATAATTATAAGTAACATATTCATAATATTCAGCCTTCACTCAACCAACCAACCTCTAACCAGCTTCTAGACAATCAGCATGTAATGTTTATAAGCCCAGTGTGCTCAGCCAGAAAGTCTGTGTATAAATTCTTGTGTGAAAATAACCATTTTTAACTGGAAATACAGCTGTGTAGAAAGGGTTGATTGATCTGAGATGTCTGATTGATTACGTGTGCCCCTTTGTACAATGAGTTCTGAACTTTCTTTGAGACTTCGACTAAAGGTGGTATTCTCAGGATATATAGCTCAAGTCAGTTACAAACAGTTTAAAAAATCATTTCTTTTCACAGACTAGCATAAAGATCACACCCATTTTGGAACAACTGTGTACTACTAATCTTCGCCATGCTTATGCACTTAATTATATCTGAAACATGGATGTGTATCAACAAGGGCTTAGTTTAGCAGTCAGCTCAGACATTGAAAATTAGAGCTATTTTTGCAAACCAATATGTTAAAGTTTTCAGTAATTTAAAATTTTACTTTTCCAGGGGTTCAAAAAGGGTCCTTACCTTACCACTATACGCTACAGTTGTGCCTAACAACCAATCACCTCAGACCATTTTATCGTCTGTAAGTGTCTATACATGAAAAATATCTCTGTGTACCTTCCTTTCTATACTAATATATGGTCCAACCAAATACACTTCATGCTGAAAACATCACTAGACAGTTAATGGACAAAGATGTCCTCAAACTGGGTGTTAAATAAAAGTAATATGATAGAGTGAACAAGTATGATTTAATACCCATTTTTAGCAATATTCCAGCAATAACACATTGGGGACAGTGAAATGAGCTTCACACATTGTACCCAGATTTGAAATAACTACTGGGTATTTGGTGTGGCAAGCGAATGATCCAACCGCTAGGCTCACCCCCCAAAATACATACTACTCAATATTTTGGTGCAATATATACTACTCAATATTTTGGTGCAATATATATCCCAACATGAGCTGAATTTGACGTTCTGGTGATTTCGACGATTGCATTGCACTCGCTATATCGGGGGAGTACGTGTGCGATCGGAGTGCACAAACAGTTTCACTGGTAGGGCGGGTGCCAAGTCGCTGTCGTGAGAAGTTTTATTGACAATTGAAATCGGGAAGTAAAGTTATATAAAACGCAAACAAACATTAATATTATTTACCCTAGAACGTTAATACCACTTACGATGCAAAATCAGTTCCCTTTATAACAAAAAATAGCAAGCGAAAATTCAGTTAGATCAGTCGTCTGCTGGTGACAGGCAATATATAAATAGGAAGCCATGTGATCACAACACTCCCTCGCAGTGCGGAGCAAAAAGTATGGCTCATCCTCGAAAACCCATACAAAACACCCGGATGTTACGAGCGGCAACAGTTTCGCCGATACGATTTCATCAACGCTATTTTTGTGTGAAATAGATGAATATATCCTTTATCACTCAAGGTTAGTAAAATACAAACTTTAAATGATATTACAGATAAAAAATATGTTTTTGTCTTACATCGTCGAAAACCCCTGACACCGGGATACTACCCAATATTTTGGTGCAATATATACTACTCAATATTTTGGTGCAATATATACTACTCAATATTTTGGTGCAATATAAACTACTCAATACTTTGGTGCAATATATACTACCCAATATTTTGGTGCAATATATACTACCCAATATTTTGGTCAATATATACTACTCAATACTTTGGTGCAATATATACTACCCAATATTTTGGTGCAATATATACTACCCAATATTTGGTGCAATATATACTACCCAATATTTTGGTGCAATATATACTACCCAATATTTTGGTGCAATACATACTACATAAATACTACACAAAAATTTCATATGGCCATAGTTAAACTGTTACGCCATCATGGCCATGGTGGATGACCTGTTTGTCATATTTGAAAATCAGGTTTTCTTTAATTTCTTTTGAGCAGTACATACCTGTCTAAAACTACTCCTTTGCATTTACCCACCAGGAGGCCGACCCTGTGAAGAATCTATCAAGGAGTGGCTATTTCTTTATAGTTTGCTTAGAAACACATTCCATCCATTCATATTGATTGCCAGCCAATATCTTTGAATATTAATCAATAAAGTATATTGTACCAGTAAATATTTGCTCTGCAGGAATATTTTATTGATCTGAATTGGATATATTCAATATCTCCCCATATTGCCAAGTTACATATAGAATATTGATCACAAATAAGGGAAATGTTGAAGATGATCGAGTTACTCACAGAAAATTGATTAGTCAGAAGAAAACTTGAACATGATTAATCGGTGTTGTCTTGTGATTTACTAAACACTCAATGACTTAATATTATAGCTTTCATTGAACTGTCAAATATATTACATAATTCAAATAGTAGTGGTAAAAAATAATCCTATTATTATAAAAATAATATAAATAATAATATATAGCTCAAAAGATATACCCTGATTAAACTTCATTCTATAATTGTATCAAATTACAGCTTGGCAATACCACTATCAGTAGAAGTTCATTACTATCTATCTTTCAAACATGTGTAATACTATTTACAGTGCTAAAATAGTTCAATTTTAATTTTATCCCTTAAATTGTTTTTATTTCAATAGCAAAAAGAGGCACTCATAAAACAATAATATTTCCTATCAACTGTCAATAAAAATAATTACACTGTGCCTTAGCATGCATAGATAATTATCAGGTAGTTACACACAAAAATACAACCATACTTGATATTATCCAATCAACAATCAAGAATATATTATCCAACCGTCTTACCTGACTCAAAGTTGACCTTGCTGCTGAACTGTCTCAGAGACAAATGTATGTCTATACCCAGGTAGAGTATTTTTAATTTCGTGGGTCTCACAAGGGAGCGAAGTCGGCAGCAGAACGTTGAGAGGATAAACAGCTTCACAGATCAATGACAGGACCCAGGCCTTCTATTACGGATATTAATGCTGTGTACGTGCAGGGTTGCAGGTCTAGAATGGCTGGGCTTAATCTTCCTTTTTGTGTTCTGATATGTTTTAATGATTTTATAAATGTACATTTAAACACGTGTCTCTCAGATCAGTTCTGTATGTGCATAACGGCAGGTATGATGCAACTTGTCACCTTTGGTCCTTTACTCACAGAATTTTTATATTGCTGCCTTTTGAGTGTCAGTGTGCTCCTCCTGTTGAGATCATTGAGACATGGAGCGTGCACTGAGATTAGCAGTAATCCCTGCCCACTGGGGATGTGTGTACTTCAGCTGTCACCGTCTTACAATCAGGTGCTGGTTGGACCAGGAACACATGATGAAATACCGGTAGGCTGTCGGCCTATCCTAACAGCAAGCCTTCACACTGAGCAGAAATTGAATGTACTGAGGGGACAGGACTCGAGTCCTCACACAAAAGAGTCACTGAATTGAGACTGGTCAGAGATGATACACTGTGGTCACACAGTGGACAGTTAAGCATGGATTCCCAGCTCACACCAAGATCAACGTCTGTGATTCCCTGAGACAGATGGTTATCCAACAATGCATCCAAATCTATCACTTTGTCACTGAATTGCTGGTCAGTCCATTGATCAAAGAAAGTCGGACAGGAAGAAAAACATGAACATTCGAACAAGGGACGGGTGCACACACGTGTGCATGCTCATGATGTACACACCAAGTTGCAGCCTCTGTCTCTCAGTGCATGTATCAGGTTTCGTCAGCCAGTAGAGGGCGCTAGCAGTGATGCGGTGGCTGGTAGCATTCCTCATATAGGAAGATAGGGAGGATCTCGCCAACACAGCTATTTATGTCTGCCACAAGAAATCAATGGAAGAGAGTGTAAAGCAGGCAGCTAAGGGCTGAAACCAACTGGTTACTATATGGCACTGGGGTATGATACAGTTTAATATGGACTGCACGTGTGTGTCTGACAACCTGTTGGCCACCATGCCATAACCATAAATTAATGCCAGCGAATGAACCCATCATGAATACCAGATCAATTTGATAGCACTGTTTTATTTGCCAATTTAGGGTGTGTTTATTAAATATTAGTAATATATTTCCAATAGATTCCTTAAACTTCCAATATGATTTTCCAGATGAATGATTGAACATTTATCAACAATCAAGTTCAATATTCTGGTTTAAGTGTGTTTTCCATCACTTTCCATTCCATATCTTCAGAAATATTGGAATATTTTTCTAGAACCTGCCCTGATGATACTAAAATATTTGAATTATTAAACCTTTCTGTCACCCCCCACAAACTATAAATAAAATAACTTGCTATAAACCCTAGGGCTGTTACAATTCACTGGCATTTTGGGTGAATCAAACCATATTCCTTCATTAATTCGATTCATTTTTCATGATCACCAGACTAAAACTTATGAAGTTTTTAAAAAGAGTGTTTTTACTTGAAATTTAATGTTATTTATCAAAACGAGATAAGCTCGATATATATCCACGCCAGTCTGGATGATAGTCAACACTGCTATATATTTAATTTTACAGTAATGTGGTCATTGGTAACTGTCATAACACTGTCAACATGGTAAAACATGTCAAATAATGTATTTAGTCATTGTTTCACTGAGTATACTGTATAATACATCACCTGCTGACTTGTTATTGTAGTTGTTAACCTGCATTTGTGATATGTAGCATATTCTTCCCGTGGAGGATTCCTTGCTGCACCAATAAGCACTGGTCTATCAGGTTGCATTGTACACAGGTTGAAATGGGTGATCTAGAGATCCGTGAAGACACAGCCAATCTTTAACAATTGCCTGTTTACCCTCATTCTAAAATGATATGTACTATTCAGTGTTTCGAAGAGGTTGTTAGAGAGAAAGACCCCATGGGAGTGTGGATTCTGAGTCAGACTAGGTCTCCAATAGACAAACGCTTAGTCCCTGAATACACATAATTTTGATAATAACAAATAAACCCATTTAATTCCTGAACCTATAGGGGAAATAATGTGGTTCAGGGACTGTGAGACTAGGTCCCCAACAACCTGGCATAGTTTTATGAGGTGGCCATATACATGGGGAGTAAGGCTTGGTGACTTGGTTGTTTGTGTGTTATTGTTCACTGATGGCATGGATTGTCGTTCACAATCACTGGTATGTCTGGTCCAGACCAGGTTACTTACAGACTGCCATCATATAGCTGAAATATTGCTCAGTCAGATTTAAACAACACATATAGTAAATATATCATGTTTTGTTGAGTCTACAGCTAGAGTACAACTGACACAATGAAGTGTCATTATGCATTCAGTATCAGTACTGAGGTATGTGTGCAACTGGGATTAACAGGTAAAACTGGATCAACAGAAAACAAACCCACTTTGTTTATCAGACCTCTGTATCATTTCCAGACATCCAGTTGTTGCCACAGGTAATAGTTTTTATATATTGATTTCAAACTACCTTGGACATTAATGCAAACCAGTCCCATACATTATAAATATATTGATAAAATAAAATGAAATTGTGCAATGTAGATATCTTCTAATGATCAATAAAAACAATGATTGCATTATTGATTTATGTGGGAATTTAATTCAAAATCCTCATGTCAGAACATGAACACGACAAAGTGAAATTGAACATGATCATTATCTGTTGTAGTTAACTGCCTTGATAAAACTGTACTCTGTAACTGTAAGTATCCTCGGCAAGTTTCTACCAATATTTCCTAATCTATACTACAGATTACAATTGAAAAATTAGACTGACTGACTGACTGAATTTGGTTTTACGCCGCTTTTAGCAATATTCCAGCAACATCACGGCGGGGGACATAAGAAATGGGCTTCACAAATTGTACCCATGTGGGGATTCGAACCCGGGTCTTCGGCGTGACGAGCCAACGCTTTAACCACTGGGCTACCCCACCGCCCTGAAAAATTAGAAGAAGAATGCTTACAACAATACAACATATACGCAACAGATCATGCCTATTACAAATACAACTTTGCCATAAGTGCCTCAGGCATCTACAAAAATGACAAAGGAAGAGTGCCTATTAAAACCACACAGTGTCACTGAGTGATAGCAAACAGTGATAAAAGATGTCAGTTAAACAAAACACTTTTTCAACAACATTGCAAAGCAAGGAAGATCTGTAATTATTATTTGTAGACAGTATTCACTCAAATCATCAGTACCTACTTGTTTCACGAAAGGTTTTGTACATCTCAAATGTGCTGCACTATAATACCCTGGACCCAAAATATGTAATACCAAGAGTACCCAGGACTTGCCAGTATGCAGGCCAGATGTGAGTGAGTGAGTGAGTGAGTGAGCTCAGTTTTATGCCACACTCAGCAATATTCCAGCTACATGTATATGGCGGCGGTCTGAAATAATCGCTCAGTCTGGACTCAGACAATCCAGTGGATCAACAGTCTGGCCCAAGATCCATCGAGCATCGATCTGCGCAATTGGGAACCGATATGTGTTTGAACCAAGCCAGTGAGCCTGACCACCCGATCCCGTTAGTCGCCTCTTACGAGAGTGAGTGAATGAGTGAGTGAGTGAGTGAGTGGGTTGATGGGTTGATGGTTGGGTTTGAACGTAGTTTTCAGCAATATTCCAGTAATATCATGCCAGCGGACACCAGAAATAGGCGTTACACATTGTACTAATGTGGGGAGTCAAGCCCAGGCATTTGGCGTAACAAAAGCACCTTAACTGTCAGGCTACCCCACATCCTCTGGATGCATGTCATCATATCCCAGTTGTGTAGATTGATGCTCGTGATGTCAATCACTGGATTTTCTGGTCGAGATGTGATTATTTACAGGTTACTGAAATAGCAGGAACACTGCTCAGAGTGGCATTTAAAAATTACACAAAAAATAAACATCCCCCAAACAAAAAAGACCCCACAGACCAAAGTACATACATGAAGCAGCTGTGTTCCCTGTAGCACTGGAACATTATACATCACACATTAGCTGAAAAGAGGGCAGTATTTTGTCCACATACCTGTAGGACGTTACCAATGGCAAAGCCACACTGATTAATGATCTGTAAGAGTTTCAGTAACATTTACAGTTCACATGGCGCATGCTTTGATTTCAGAACCGATTGACTTGGGCAGCACACTAAGTGAGTTTGTGAAGGTAAGACAAACTGAAGTAGACTTCTTATGACTTGTTACGTTCCAGGGATTCTGGATTAGTGAGTGAGTGAGTGAGTCAAGTTTTACCCCTCTTTTAGCAAAATTTCAGCAATATCACGATGTGGGACACCAGAAATGGGCTTTACATCTTGTACCCATGTGGGCAATCGAACCCAGGTCGTCAGCGTGGCAAGAGCAAACGCTTTAACCACTAGGCTACCCCACCGCCGATTCTGGACATGTTTTTTACGCTTTTTAGCAATATTCTGCAACATCACGGCGGGGAACACCAGAAATGGGCTTCACACTATGTTGGATTCATTAGATTCTGACCAAATGCTTTGTATGTTGGTCATTAGAGACCAAATGCATCACCTTGTGAAGCTTATTAGTGAGGTAGCTGATATTATGCCAACAAGGCGTGGATCATTGTTCATAATATCAATAAATGGTCCAGATGATTATTATGAGTGTGAGGTGATGCAGATCTTCTGCATTATCACTTATGGCATACTTCATTTACTGGAAATGAGTGAGTGAGTGACTGAAGCTTCATGTTGCTATCAACTATATTCCAGCAGCACCACAGCAATATATACTGGCCACATAAAGAAACTGTGCACACAGAAAATATAGATATAGGCACACAGCATCTTTATACATAAATACAGGAGTGAACATAGCAAGTATTGGAAACAATCAAACGCTCATGCACGTGCCAGGCGACGTGACGCCATTGATGGTGGCCTGTGGACTTGCAATGTGTTACTGCATGTGCAGCCCATGCAGCTGCAGACAACATGCAGAGATGCCAACCCCATTTTGGGCCTAAGTGTAATACTGGATGTGAAAAAGTGTAATTTGGACCTAAAAAGTGTAATACTTAAAACACTTACTTAGTGAAAGGTGATAACTTTATAAAAATTACTTTTAAAAAGGTTTATTCACATGAATAGGAAAGATTCTAGACAGAAATACACAAAAACAATCATTATGAACTTCCATACATCAAAAAATTGTTGGTCAGGCGACACAAATACTTAAATTCCTTACAAGTTAATTGGAATGAGCGTAATGCTAAGAGTACCGTATATGACCGTCTATAAGCCGAATTTTGAGGACCAAAAAAAGCAGTCTGTAGAAGGGGGTCGTCTTATCCATGGGTTATGCTTTCGTCAAACATTTTTCCCAGGGGTAAGACATCATATCACAACGCGTGAACAAACAACAGAAGACGACTTTGTCAGTAGAGACGTCAAATTTGCAATTAAACATCACTAGACAAGATTATTTACCTTTTAAGTTATAAGTTGTTGTTTTTTCTGAACCCCTGCACCAGTGCGTTATGAAAAAAATTCCCTGTGACATTTTATCCACTTTATTGATTTTCGCAAAACGAGTAGAAAAGCGTAATTTTTGCAGATTAAGTGTAATGGCGTAATTTAATGGTCAAAATCGTAATAATTACGCCCAAAGCGTAAGGGTTGGCATCTCTGCAACATGTGAAACATGTGAATTGCTGTCACTGTCAAAAGCTTGGTCATTCAACCGTTCACATGAGAAGTCACATGCACATCATGCCAAGCTCAACATCTGCTCAACGCCATGAAGCCATTGGAATGGTTCGAGCAGGAATGAGCCAACAACAGGTGGCAGCACATTTCCAATGCCATCATAACACAATATCTGCATTGGTCAGGTATTATCAAAACAGTAATGACGTCGCCGACCACCCATGTTCTGGGCGTCCCCGACATCACGACGCCAAGACAGGACAGATGGATTCGGGTGACTCATCTCAGACACAGGTTCCAGACGGCAGTGACCACGTCCCAGGCCTTCAGTGCTCATTTGGTAGCCTCTATGCGTCGTCGATGCACTGCTGTGCTTCACGCACATGGTGGTCATACCCGTTGTTGACTTTGTGACTTCGTCGTGTGACCTCCTACTTGATTTTGAACTTCTGACGCCATTCGTTACGGATATTGTTCATGTTCTTTTGACATTTTGTTGTGGTCCGATACTTCAGCTTATAAAGTGTCTACATCATTGCGTCTTTTCTGTGTTGTATTCTAATTCTGAAGGAATTTTCTGTGTGTACAGTTTCTTTATGTGGCTAGTATATAATTACTGAGTCTGAACGAGAAATATCATTTGTCAGTACCAACCCAAGCCATCATCAGGCCATTCTGACAAGTAGCAGTCACAGAGTGTTGGAAATAGATCCTAGGTTCTATGACAAGAATGATGTACTGGGGACCTATCCTGACCTGGAATCCACACTCAGTTATGGGAAATGACACCTTGTGATGAAATGATGGATTTGTTTCCTACCATCGGTACAGAATTAACCATACCTATATAACATATAGCATCAGCTGAGTGTATTCTAGGTACCAAAATTGCACCATTCAAGCTCTTCACAAATGGCACACAATATGATACTCATTAGCCAAGATGTCGCTAAGTCTTTCTTCAGTAACCAGTCATTCAAAATACCCAAAACAGGCACATAAGAAGCACAACGTATCATTAGAGGAAGCAGCTGTGAAGATCTGATCTACTTTCACGTTTACTGGTGTATTCTTATTATTCAAACTCTCAGAGACATGTAGGCCAATTAATGTCTCGAATAAAAACTACTAATAGGAAATTTCTGGGGATATTCATAGATCACAGTCCTTGCATTGTTATTATGTGTGACATTTATATCAGAATATATATTCATGATCAGTTTGTTCATTCAGTCTAAAAAATACTGCACCATTTATATGTTATTGTTTTTATTACTGATATGTTGTAGAAATAAGATATACTGAAAGGCAAAAAAAATGTTGTAATATTGGAAATGACAATTAAGCATCAATGGAATATTTAAACCTATTTTTTCTGAAATGTACACGTAAGTCAAGTTTGAGGAAAACATGAATCATGGTCATATAGCCTGTATTGCCCAATAAAGTATCCCAACACGAGCTGAATTCGACGTTCTGGTGATTTCGACGATTGCATTTCACGCGCTATATCGGGGGAGTACCTGTGCGATCGGAGTGCACAAACAGTTTCACTGGTAGGGCGGGTGCCAAGTCGCTGTCGTGAGAAGTTTTATTGACAATGGAAATCGGAAAGTAAAGTTATATAAAAAGCAAACAAACATCAATATTATTTACCCGAGATCGTTAATACCACTTCAGATGCAAAATCAGTTGCCTTTATAACAAAAAATAGAAATAGAAAAATCAGTTAGATCAGTCGTCTGCTGGTGACAGGCAATATATAAATAGGAAGCCACGTGATCACAACACTCCCTTGCAGTGCGGAGCCAAAAATATGGCTCATGTTTTTGTGTGAAATAGATGAATATATCCTTTATCACTCAAGGTTAGTAAAATAAAAACTTTTAAATGGTATTACAGATAAAAAAACGTTTTTGTCTTACATCGTCGAAAACCCCTGACACCGAGATATTGTTTGAGACTGAGGTTTGAAATGTTTTTGTTAGTGGAAAGGGAAGAGTTCGCACAAACACAACATTGAACTCAAGATGCATGTGCATCATGCATGCATTCAGGCATAAATTGTAACATGTTTGGGTAGGTCGAAATGATAGTGTTGATCAATATTGTTGCTTTCACTTACTAATTTTGTTATGAAAAGCAAGAGTCAATCCCCTTGATCTGATGCAAATTGGAAATGGAATTTGGCTATGTATACCTCATTTCTGGCTCATTACAATTGATAACTTCAGCTCAGTGAAGACAAAACAACACTTTAAAAGGAACCAAGTTCTTGCTTGAGTCTTCTAAATACCAAGTTTTACCCTTGAAATATACTGAGAGAAACAAATAATTAGCAGTGTGGTGATGAAAACTGGAAAATTACAGGGGTAAAGACAAAGTCATCAATAGACAACCCCAGTAGAACGGCAAAAATACTCTTTAGACAATATGTCTACCTAGTTATAAGTTGTTTATGCCAATGTTTTTTTGGAGTGTATACAGCAAATTGGAAGGAGAGTATTGAAAGGTATTGAAAGATCTGCACCAGAGAGGAGCACAACCATCAAGGTTCAGTTGACATATGTACCAACTTGATTGCTAGCATGTAAAATGCAACAAGATGACATCCTCATAGCCACAGCCTAAGTCATGTTTCCATGGAAACAGCAAAAAATCAAATTCATATGTGGATCTAAACCCCAAAAGGCACATCTAGGGATCATGCTTGATATGTGTACCAAGTTTGATGAAGCTAGCATGTATAGATTAGGAGATCTGCTCCGGACAAGATGACATCCTCATAGCCACAGCCTAAGTCACGTTTCCATGGAAACCGCAAAAAATTAAATTCATATCTGGGTCTAAACGTAGTAAACCCCAAAAGGCACATCTAGGGATCATGCTTGACATGTGTACCAAGTTTGGTTAAGCTATCACCAATAGTTTAGGAGATATGCTTTGGACAAAGTGTGACAGACGCACGGACAGGACGGAACTCGTTTCTATACCCCCGGCAACTTCGTTGTTGCTGGGGATAATAAAGGAACGCTTGAATTTTCCTGTGATCCTTTATTTGTTTCTCTCAGTATATTGAACAATTTTGGAGTTCTACTCTGGAATAAATGATCACTACCTTCATTTTCAGTGTATTGACTGACTGACTGAGTTTGGTTTTAGCTTTTAGCAATATTGGGGTGGGGGCCAGAAATGGACTTCACAATTGTACCCGCATTTTCTGCTTGTGAAGCCTGGTGGTTAAAACACCCGGGTTCGATTCCCCACATGGGTATAATGTGTGAAGCCCATTTCTGGTGTCCCCGCCATGATATTGCTGGAATATTGCTAAAAGCAGCGTAAAACCATACTCACTCACTCATTTTCAGTGTAAGTGCAACTTATATAATGAATAATCTAAAAGTGCATTAACCTACCGGTATAGTGATAATCGATCCCAAATATGCCCAAATATCATAAACTCATGTGTAAAGAGGACTGAGAAGATAGGGCATGGTCAAACAAAACAAGATTGTCATGTGTTTTGACAACTTCCCTGTGTATCAAACTGTGTCTAATCTTGCGTACATTTAACTCGTATTCCAGCCACCTAACACAGCGTCAAGTTGAAAAAGCAGGATATAATCAGGAATCTCAAATAACATTACAAACACTAGAGGATGACAAGTATGCTACTCTGTTTCTGTAAAGAAACCATGTTGATCGCAATCCTGCTGTTTCACTGAGCATGGTGACAAGTCACTAGCTGTCACATCAGAAATATTTCCAGAAAAGTTGGGTTATTGTGCGACCGCTGTATTTACTGAAGCTGACAGTGCCGAGTCCGATGACATTCCACCATGAGTGAACAGAAGGAAACAGCTGTTCTTGGTTTTTATTGGGTTAGCTTGCTCGAATACACCCGTCGCGATACGGTGTGCACATGGTTTTGCAAATCTCATGCTTTTTGTAGTCAGTAGCTGTCGACAGAGTTGAATAGCTCAACATTGATAAAACATGTTATTGCTGACAAAGTCATCCATAGAACTCCAGTAAGGGTTAGAAATTTCTAATCAGAAATTACTTCCATTATCGGGAAGACATTCAAAATAGATGTTTGGTTAACATTCCCACCTTGGGTGAACCTGTAGTTCGGGGATTTTTTCTTGCTTTTATTCCTATTGTTGTTTCTGTTTTGGCGTATTAAATGTCAGACATCATTATTTAGACTTTTCATTTATTTCATTAATGGGGAATAAGAACTGCCTCATTCCCAGTCAGACTTGTGGAACATTGGGACTGAACTGAAGAAGACAGCAATTATTCCTACTGAACTGACTCTCCAAGAACTGAACTGATTCTCCAAGAGTCCATTGCACGCCAAGTCTCCAAGCACACCAAGACAGAATTGTTAATGAATGCCTGAGTAACGAGACATTTCCTCGTCATGAAAATCATGACGGAATTAGCTGAGTGGATTCTGATGATGAAGAAGACTAGCAGGACATGATCAGTTGTGTGGCAACAGTCACACCCTCCTTTGCTTATGCAAATAAGGCTCTCAAGGAATATTTCCTGGACACTCAACTGTGATGACATTTGATACTATGGCTGATTTCAAAGAGGCAGTTTCTCGAAAACAGGCCCAAGTAAAATATCTTATATCAAATGCTAAATGAACTTTTAATGAACAGCATACAAAATGTGTTATGAACCATTATGAAAGCATCATGAAAAAATGTCAGCATTGAAATTAATTTGTACGCATACACCACATACTGGAATAGCTACTCACGCCAAACCCTGCACATAAAATTATTTTTGCCTATCATAATGCCAACATTGAACACCAAGGAAGCAAACATAAAAGTGATTTTATACAATTGAACAAAATGTTTCTGTCATCATCAATCATGATAAAAAGAATTTTAGGATACTCTCTATCATTACAGATTTCACCATCAAAGTGTCCTTCAGCTCAGTAACAGGAGAAAATAACAGTTGCATGAACATAAGGCCAGTTATATAGCTTCCCCAATTTATCTAACATATGCTTCTGAAAAGGATATCTTTTTTTAGTAAATGTTGTAAATAAACTCAAGCAATCTAATCCAAATTATTGGCAAGGCAGTGCATATACTATATACCGACTGACCAATCACAAGACTGGAAGCACATACATTTCAGGCAATTCACCGTAACCACAACAATCCAGGTAACAAGTTGCTTCTGCACATGACGTGTTTCCCTGCTGCCTACATTCCAAAGTGTTAATGGGCCAAATCTTGATTCTAAACTTTGCATAGTAGAGCTGATGTAAGTTCTATAAAGTAGCACACAAACATGCTGGCTACTGGTGTTGGCCTATCGTATAATACTTGCACCAATGTCCCCTCAGTGGGCCCCAGACACAGAAGCTCTGTACATACATTAGTCTGTCGTACAGACCCTGAAGCAAATATATCCAAGAAAGCCCTCGCAAGTCTAGAAAATGTGGCAAGTCTAGATTTCCTCAAAGAAAGTCTCATGGCTCCTTTTCATTATATATATATTTTTTTTACTATGAACTTTTTTCCGTAAAATAAGTTCATTTCAGAGACTAGTTGTTAGTCTATACATACATCAGTGTCTGAAGATCTTACAAAGCTCAGGCAAGAAGGACAGTATTTATTGCTTCATGTGGTTTGGTCAAAATAAAATAAAAAATTATGGGAATTTAAGGGGCATCCTTTCTATAATCATAAAAACTTCCCTACTACTAAAAGAAGAATGCACTATACAACTCTGACTATGGCATAAGCATGTGTCTATTCTCTTATAGTGATGATACTAGGTGTTCTGGTGAGGGTTTCATCCACAACAGTTTCTTGACAAACACATGCAAAGGCAAGGCAACTGTTCAGCTGAAAAGACCCTAACAGAAATATATCTTGTAAGTGAACTGCAACATCTTTTTTATCACTGATACATTTGATTTAGCCTTGAATGTTGTAATAATGATCAAACAACTTTTGAGCAACAGTTATATCACTATTTTTTAAATCTTTACAGAAAGAGCATTGGTGGCTGTCCTCAAAGGTTTGTATAATGTTTACATCAAAGGGTTAAGTTGTTGGAATATTATTCAACAGAAAGTAGCCAACTGGAAAGTTGAAGTCATCCCTCTTGTCATACAGTTGTGTGGATTCTTCTGTTCCTCAGAATCTTTGTTTACTTTGTTACAAGTACTGTTCATACCTGTCATATAATATGTTGGGTACTGTTCATACCTGTTAGATAATATGTTGGGTACTGGTCATACCTTTCTGATAATATGTCAGGTACTGTTCATACCTTTCGATAATATGTTGGGTACTGTTCATACCTTTATGATATGTCGGGTACTGTTCATACCTTTCCGATATGTCAGGTACTGTTCATACCTTTCCAATAATATGTCGGGTACTGTTCATACCTTTCCGATAATATGTCGGGTACTGTTCATACCTTTCAGATAATATGTCGGGTACTGTTCATACCTTTCTGATAATATGTTGGGTACTGGTCATACGTTTCAGATAATATGTTGGGTACTGTTCATACGTGTCAGATAATATGTCGGGTACTGGTCATACCTTACACATAATATGTCGGGTACTGGTCATACCTTTCAGATAATATGTCGGGTACTGCTCATACCTTTTAGATAATATGTCGGGTACTGGTCATACCTTTCAGATAATATGTAGGATACTGTTCATACTTTTCAGATAATATGTCGGGTACTGTTTATACTTTTCTGATATGTCGGGTACTGGTCATACTTTTCAGATAATATGTTGGGTACTGTTCATACCTTTATGATAATATGTCGGGCACTGTTCATACTTTTCAGATAATATGCCGGGTACTGGTCATACCTTTCTGATAATGTCGGGTACTGGTCATACCTTTCAGATATGTTGGGTACTCTTCATATCTTTCAGATAATATGTTGGGTACTGTTCATACCTTTCAGATAATATGTCGGGTACTGGTCATACTTTTCAGATAATATGTCGGGTACTGGTCATACCTTTCAGATAATATGTTGGGTACTGTTCATACCTTTATGATAATATTTTGGGTACTGTTCATACCTTTCTGATAATATGTAGGATACTGTTCATACCTTTCTGATAATATGTAGGATACTGTTCATACCTTTCTGATAATATGTTGGGTACTGTTCATACCTTTCTGATAATATGTTGGGTACTGTTCATACTTTTCAGATAATATGTCGTAGTGTTCCCCCTAGGATTCAGAAAGGGCAGGGTAAATTAAACAAAAAGGGCACCTCATAATCTAAAAGGGCACTTTGGTGAGGATTATTGAAAAAATAACAATAACAAAATGTATATGAAGTCAAATGCTCTTATAATTTTATTTCTAAAGTTCATTTATTACTTTAAGATCAAAATTTGGAAAAAAAAGTATTTCAAGACATTAACCTGTTGTCACATTTGTTTACAATTTCACAAAACACGCAAACAACAATTTACAGTCTTCTTTTCTTTCTTGCCAAGCATCTGTTCACAACTTTTTTCAAGTCAATGTCTGAAACTGACGATGCATTCAGGCTAATCATGAGAAGTCCGTTGCAATTTTTAACACTGAGTCTGTTTCTATGATCTGTCACAAGCAGTTTCACTTTTGAGAACACTCTCTCAACTTCAGAAGTGGACAATCACAGTTGCATGAATGGACAGTAATTGAACAATGTTTGGATTCAAGTTTCCAAGTTGAGGCTTGAGTCTTCAAAATGGTGGAGGGTGAACTGGTGTCAAGCTCCTTTACTTGACTCCACTCAATCTGTGTTTGGTCGACATTAAGTCCATTTCTGCCCTTGTTGTTCCACTTAGAACATAATGAACAAAACATCATTCCCTTCTTTTGTCATCTTCTGAGTACCTCGACCAGGGACGGTTTTGTTGCCACTTTGTGTCAAATGCAGTCTTGTGACCACCATCTTTCTTCTGTGTTGGATTAACTGACTCTGTCTCATTGTGCCCTTGAATTTTCATAGGAAACTACCTCTGACTCGTCCGGTCTGAAAAAAATAATAATACAAAGTTCATATACCATATTCAAAATATTCTTAGATATTAAATTTGCAATCATAATTATTAAAACAAAATATCACACAATAATACACCTGAACGTAAGTATCTACTGTGGAGAGCCTCGACAAGGGTGTGGCTTCCCACTGTTTGAAATCGTGAAAATAGTTTTCGCCTTCAAGACTTACATTTTTATGAAATCGACAGTAAACACTAAAACAAAGCTACCAAGTGAAGCTGTTATGCAAGCTGTATTAACTATTTCATTTCCCAGGACAAACAACAAAATAATTCAAGATCAATTTCAAATTGCCGATGGATTCAAAATGGCGGACATTTTCGAGTTTCAGATTTTCACCTAAACAGCACAGTCACATGAATATCGGTCCCCAAAGCGTGCCAAAATACATCCCATGTAGTTCACTGCGTCGTTGTCTTTAATAAATGAAGGTCTTATTTGAAAGGCATGTGAAATTGAAAGGGAAATCAACGGCCTAAAAAATCAACGAACTTAGAGGCACATACCTGTTAGGAGCGAAGAAATCTATTAGTCGGCGACACTTCCTTGCTTCAACCTTCACGCTTCTTCTCTTTTCCTTTTGATTCTTTCCTTGGTAGGCATTGTGATTTGTAAAGCGAATTAAACACATTTGACTTCGCCATGGTTTAAATGCAGATTTCCTAATCATTATCAAAACAATTTGGTGTCTCCCCTTGAAAGGGAGAGAACTCCGTCCTTAATAAAATCCGGAAAATACACACGGGTTGTTGTAAAATCAAGCACAGCTGGAAAAAAAACTGGGATTAAGGCGAAAAGGGCAGGGCGCAAAAATCAAAGGGCAGGGCGCAAAAATCAAAGGGCAGGGCGAAGCGCCCTCCTAAATGTGCCTAGGGGGAACACTATGTCGGGTACTGTTTATACTTTTCTGATATGTCGGGTACTGGTCATACTTTTCAGATATGTCGGGTACACGCATACCTTTCAGATAATATGTCGGGTGCTATTCATACCTTTCAGATAATATGTCGGGTACTGGTCATACCTTTCTGACAATATGTTGGGTACTGTTCATACTTTTCAGATAATATGTAGGGTACTGGTCATACCTTTCTGATTATATGTCGGGTACTGTTCATACCTTTCAGATAATATGTCGGGTACTGTTCATACCTTTCAGATAATATGTCGGGTACTGGTCATTCCTTTCAGATAATATGTAGGGTATTGTTCTTACCTTTCAGATAATATGTCGGGTACTGGTCATACCTTTCAGATAATATGTAGGGTACTGTTCTTACCTTTCAGATAATATGTCGGGTACTGTTCAGGCCAAAAGATCTGGTCATGAAATGATCATATGTGTGAGTGAACGAGCGACCTACGGTGCCGCAAGGATTGCCCTGACACAGATTTTTGAATTTGCATCTGTATCTGTGTTGAATAAATCAGTAGCAGAAATATGACACTAGAATACAGATGGAAATAGTTAAAAATCAAATTTAGTGTGAATTTATACATGCAAATTGATAATTCTTCAGGACATGATATTGACATGGTATGACTGATCATGAACTGCCTACATAAGAAATTAATATTATTTTCTAAAATGACCTATTGTTACATGCAAAGGACTCCCTTGAAGACAGACAGGGAGTCAAGATGACTCATGACTCCTACAGTCAGGAGCAAAGGGCAGTCCCTGTGTGCATGTACAAAATGGCCTCATGCAAAGAAAATATACACAGCTGTCCGAGTTCATCAACCCCAGTGACTTTGGTAGGTATAGCAACATTTGTTCAGATTAGTACGGTATTTCCCAGTGATGGCAGGTTACTGCTTTGGTGTCTTGCTCTGGAATGTAGGGTAATAAGGTTGGTGTCTACATCATTACTGAGAGCAATGTTTCCTCCTGTAGACAGACACTGCTGCAGATACATACAGAGTTGTAGATACACAGAGGAAACATACATGGCTGCAGCACAGATACATACATGATACATCCACTGCTGCAGTGTTGATACATTCAGGATACATATACAGTTGTAGATACACAGAGGATAAATACATGGCTGCAGTACAGATACATACATGATACATCCACTGCTGCAGTGTTGATACATTCAGGATACATATACAGTTGTAGAAACATAGAAGATACATACATGGCTGCAGTACAGATACATACATGATACATCCACTGCTGCAGTGTTGATACATTCAGGATACACATACAGTTGTAGATACACAGAGGATACATACATGGCTGCAGCACAGATACATACATGATACATCCACTGCTGCAGTGTTGATACATTCAGGATACACATACAGTTGTAGATACACAGAGGATACATACATGGCTGCAGCACAGATACATACATGATACATCCACTGCTGCAGTGTTGATACATTCAGGATACATATACAGTTGTAGATACATAGAGGATACACACATGGCTGCAGCACAGATACATACATGATACATCCACTGCTGCAGTGTTGATACATTCAGGATACATATACAGTTGTAGATACATAGAGGATACACACATGGCTGCAGCACAGAAACATACATGATACATCCACTGCTGCAGTGTTGATACATTCAGGATACATATACAGTTGTAGAAACATAGAAGATACATACATGGCTGCAGCACAGATACATACATGATACATCCACTGCTGCAGTGTTGATACATTCAGGATACATATACAGTTGTAGAAACATAGAAGATACATACATGGCTGCAGTACAGATACATACATGATACATCCACTGCTGCAGTGTTGATACATTCAGGATACATATACAGTTGTAGAAACATAGAAGATACATACATG